AAAAAAAAAAAAAAAAAAAAAAAAAAAAAAAAAAAAAAAAGGAACATGAAATAGCGAGGCAGAAACATCCAAAACAAGGGAAGAAGTTTAAACCACCTTCACCACAAAGGGTAAGAGGACATTTTTTTTTTTAAAGTTTAAATATGTGGGAAATGTGGAGGCTATTTACAGTGTAATAATCAATAAGGAAAATACAAATACAGCCCAATATAGCATTTGTGTGGGCTTGTGTGGGAGTCTGTATTGTGACTGGAGGCTAAACTTATTTTGAATGATAGTTGATATTTAAAAGAACAAACATTATTATCTTGATAAGAACAGTGATGTTTTTCACTGGATACATTAAAATTTCAGTCCCCAGTGTGGATATCTGAACAGCCCTTCAAATTCAAATTGGTAATACCTGACATGTTTCCCTGAAACCTGACCTTTCTTAGTAGGTACAGTGTGTTCCAGTGTCATGCTGGATGGATTAACAAACAATAATAAAAAGAGAGAGAAAGAGAAATTATACTGGCCGACAAAGCGGCAACGTCAACTTGCTCATGCAACTCAACTTCAATTGAATTCTCAGAAGGAGAAGGAAGGAAGCAACATACTAGCTGTTAATCAAAACAAGTTTTGAGCTAAAAGACAAAAACACTAAAAACAAAGAAGGTTTCTAAGATGCCGTATTACAACAGGGGAATGAAAATACTATCAACGCTTCAGTGATTTTACACAAATAAGTATGACAGAACGCCTTCTGATTGCCTCGGAGCCCTGATAACCTGATCAATGCTAATAATGTAACCTGGGAAATTTTCATCTTAGCCACACCTTTTTCTCAGGAATCACAACCTATTCATAAACAAACAGACAAACAAAAAAAACAACATAAAAGTAGGGAATAAGGACCAACAGGGCCTTGGGGATATGACAGAATAAATGAGCATAATGGCATCTAATAATGACTTTATTATACAGAATAATAGTATAGTAAAATCACCAACCCATTAGGCACATACATATATTAATTTCCCTAAAGCAAATTCTTTTTTTAAAGAATAAATTATATATATACATATATATTTTAAAATACCAGCTTACAGGCTGATACCTAGTGATTTGCCAGTGATTGTTTTTATTACTTTATTATATTTATTACTATATATGCTCCTGAGAATGTGTGTATGTGTGTAATCTTCCTCTGTAGTGTACTCACTATAGCCACTAAGTACTGGCCAGTAAAACTCAATCAAAATAATAAGGAAAAAAATTAAATCACCTTCCAAGATCTATGTGAGTGTAAGCGAGCATGTTGGTGGGGGGAATGTTACCTGATTCTATAGGGACATCTTCTTTAGCCACAAAGATAAAAGAAAGTATGGAAAAAGTTAAAATAGAATAAAATTTATAAATCTTGCTATCAAACTGGAGATTTTCAGCAGTCCACGTCCTGGGGCGCTATTGCATGAACTATTCAGCCCATGGGGAAGAGAGTGTGTCCATCTCCTCTCGTGCGAAAGAGACATCTGAACTGGCCACACATGGGGAATGAGCATGAAATATTATAACAAATACACAAGACTTTAAAAACTTAATGAAAGGATGCTGCGTGTTTCAGATGTTAGCCGAAGGCGTTGAAACACATTTAGAGTTGTGAATAGTGTGTACAGTCATAATAAACAGAGAAGGCACTCAGAAGCGAATGCTTTCAGATACTGCAGTTCTCTGGTGACTTAGTGAAGCAGCACTCGCCAGCGTAATGCTTTCTATGGACATGGTTTGGTTTGGTTTTTATCTTTTTAAATTCAAATACAGTTGGCCATCTCCACTCAAAGCAGCTCGATCTATGTAACAGGCCGCTTTTGTCATGTCAACTCTTTGTTTTTGGCTTTAGCTGCAGGTGGTGTTTTCTATATATGAGTTTCTGGGAATATGGTCTGTGCTGGCCATATAAGGATGTCTATTCAGGCCATATGTTTCGCTGTCACACGTCTCATTTTGTCTGTCTGGGATGTCAGTACTGATTCCTATATCATCTCTTGAATGGACCAAACACCAACTTGCTAGAGCAGGGAGGAAACACTGGGGCTGCAACAACTTCGTCAAAACACAT